CAGACAAGAAAAGAAAGCCAAAATGTGTTCAGCTATACTGGAAACTGTCTAAGTAGATTGATATCCGTGACGAATTTCGCTAGATTCGACAATTTGGCCTTTGTCCAAATGTGTGGTTGTTAATGTCACTAAAATTCATGCTACATGTATTTCACACGCTTCTAGCCGCAGGTTAATTGAAAATGATTTAACTGAGAAGAATCACAATTCACAAGAAACAGGCTTGTTTGACATCCATGTTTTCAACAAAGATACTAATCAGGACCAAGTTAACATCAAAGCTTCCTTTACATTGGACAAGCATCATTAACTTCTTCCCTTTTACAGTGAACAAACTAGAAATCCGGTATGGGAAACGTTCACGGCGTTTAAAGTTTTACTTGCGGCTCAGCCAAACAATCAGTTAATTGGACACCAGCCAAAGCACTTCGGGGGGAAGGGTGAGAGAAACTTAAATTTCTGGGGAAGGAATGTGCAATTACAGTTCAGTGAGGGTATTAACGCTTTTATTCCTTACTTCTACGCAAAAAAAAGCAGCTGATAGTCTGTAGACTCTAGAAAACACATTTCAAACGTTTTGAAAATGGTTTAAAATTTATTCAGTGACGTACTAAATTAAACGGTTGCTAAGTGTCCAGAACATGCAATTGAACAAAAAAAAAATCAAGTTGTTACGAAGCTGTTACCTGTGATAATTCTACTTTCAAAGTTAAATCTCTAATTACTCTTTTTTTAAAATCAATCATTCTTATCCTGGCTGACTTTCTTGTTGTCATCTGGGCAAGAGATGGTCATGATACGAATTTCGCTTCCTAAGAAATACTGGAAAGCCCCGAAGCCTCGCCGAGGGTGAATTTCATTTTGGGGGATTTCCTTCTTGTTAAATAAAATAGCGGCATTTTGTGAACGGTGAGTTATGATTCCAGCAGTTTGGGCGAGGAGCCAGATTATCGAGAAGTGTTCGAAATGACGGCGTCTGTAATCAAAATATTAAGATATTTTCATAGGACAGTTTTCGAGCTGTTATGCTCCTCTCTTATAAATATCCTAGATATGTTTACTTACTATACTTAATATACTTTTAAAATACATACTTTAAAATAAATGAAAGAAAAATTGTATGGTTTATGGCTTCTTCTTTAACGATAAATCTGCAGAGTTTTTTTATGACTGCATAAGGACACATGACAATGATCTTTACAGAAGAGAACAGCAACCAAACAGAGTCGTTACCTTGATAGCTCTAGTGATGGAAGATATTTCCGACTGAGACGGTAATAGCTAGGGTATAGATTGGTAATTAAGGTCAAGTTTATTTCAAGACGTATCCTTGCCGTAGCTTTTGGACTTGCTGAGATTTGTCTGAGAGCCATTTTAACTCAGCACGCTAAATTGAATCTAGGCGTGGACAGCAACAACACGACACACAAACGACCTTAATTTTTCAGATACATAATATCCGCGAGTTCCTGTCTTCTATTGAAAAGACTGTAAAGCAGCCAAGCGATTTTCCGGTAAGCACTGAATTTTGTTGAAGATTCAACTAAACTTCCTCGCATGACGGACGCGCTAATCATGTTATTGTCGCCCCTTACAGTTATCTCTACCCTTTCCAAAAGATTACTTCTATTGATTACACTTATTGAATTCAAACACCTCTGATAAGCAGGCAGAGTGCACCACCATCATAATTTTTGACTTTTAATTTTACCACACATTTTGACGTTTACTAGCGTGGTACCTACTTTAGTAGAAGTCAAAAAATTGAAGATAAAAATTTTGCGCATTAACGACTGGAAATAATTTAATCTGGAATATTCAACAATAAACTAAATTTCTTTTCCTGTGTTGAGCACCTACCCATATTAAGAGCGAGATGAAACTTTGCAATAAGATGAATACATCAAGTCCTTTTGACATCTCGCGTGGAGAACTAAAATGCAAATATTGTCCTAGACGTTCAATTTACTTCGTTTTATCTAGCTCTAGTTTGAAATCAATGCAACAGTTGGAAACAATTTTTTGTTTTCATTTTTTGAAAAATAAAAAAAAAGAAAAGAAAAATGATGCATTTTTATTTTAATTTTTTAGATTAATTGGTGTTTTTAAGGGAGTCTAAATGTCGATTTGGATAATTGTTGTGTCTAAATTACTGCAATGTCTGTTCCAAAAGTGCCAGCTGCATGTAAGAGATAAATCAAGATCCTAAGATTCCCTTCTGTGTAAATGGATTGTGCGCTCGGGTTTCCTTCCCTTTAACGACACTCCCTGTATCTTCAATCTTTGCTGTCAAAGAAACAGAACTGCAAACGTAACAACATAAGAAAGAAAGAAATCACCGGAACTGAGAAGTTAAATGATAAGATTTTTACGACCAAGGCGCCAAGGTTCTCAGATATATCGATTGAATCAGACCTTAAGATTTTTAAATTGCTGGCAAACAAACAGTAGGTGATTGAAAGAAGTTTTTTCCTAGCCTGAACATTAATTTTCAAATTTTGGTTAACCCCTTTGAGTTATCTTGAAGAACTAAGGAAACCAGAAAGCAAAAGATGCTTCTTACAATGATTGGTGTTATGCAGAAATTTAAAGCCATACAAAGCTAGCTAAGATTGCGTAACGGAGAGATTAATGCTCTCTTGGCTCAACAGAATGAATGAATCATGATGCGGAAAAATTAACGCAACTTTGAACGGTGTGTTTGATATAATTTTGGTGCATGAGAGAGATTATGCTTGATGTGATTGATCCACTTAACGTAAAAATCCAAAACGCTACAGAACGATGACTTGTTGGATGAGAAAAAAAAAATGCGCCTTACCATGACTTGTTTTTATTCAAAGTTCTTAAAATTTGAAACCGCAGACGCTTTTTGTGCCCATTCATAACATTATTATGATTCATCGCTTTAACTTGCATTGATAGAATCATAAAATGGGTCTAAGAACGACGCCATGTCCAAATTAGTTCACCGATGACACTAAGCAGCTACTCGACAAGTAGTTACCTCAATGGAACATTCTCATCAGTGAGACAAATTGGACGAGTATATCTATTGGAAGTGAACACTCAAGCAGCCTTGTTTGATATGATTACGTAAATTAGTATTGACCGGGAAGAGCACCAAAGTCGAATAAACAAAGTTCTTCTTCGTAATGTGCTGTTATTGAGCCACTTTGTAGTTAAATTAAGAATTGTTTTAAAGAGTACATTAAGAAAGATAATTTTGGGTTTTCTGATGATACATTCGCGAATTCGACGTTTTTATATAAATATCAACGCTTTTAAACGTTTTACTCGCGTAAAACTTTTGTACTTTACATCGGCGTAAGCTTCACATCAATAAGTGTTTTCTAACTACAAAGGATATCAATAATTTAAGCCTTTAGTGCTTCAAATAGTATACCACACAGTTATATGTGCCGCTAACTCGTACAGGTGCAATGTCAACTTCCAAGGTTAAGAAAACATAACCAAATGAGAACATAAGGGCGTAGCTTCTCAGTAGTTATCGGAGTTGTAGTAAATTTAAGAAGGAATACGGTACAAGTTGTAGCAGTAGGGCAGTGGTAAATTAAGAGGTCTCTGTGACCAAAGACTACAGGTACCCTTCAGTCAGCAAGTTTGCACGAGCCATCTTCCCTCAAATACCCCAACAGAGAACCCGAACACTATAATTGCCGAGTGCATATGGCTAAAACAAAAAGAGCAGTGTACCAGAACGTAACACAAAGCATTAGCCATTGATTCTGCTTGTTAACATCCCTAATTACTTAGTCAGCTTTCCACAGTTATCGAACTCTTTACTTGAGCCGTCGAGGAGAGCTTATAAACTGTGCATAGCACTTAAGAAATTTTTCACCAACCAAAATCTTAATTCTCCTCTTCCAAAATGATTTTTGTAATATTCCAAGGATCCGCATAGTTAATACTGATTGTAACTTAAGAGGCTAGGATAGAGTATGAATACTGACACGTGCACTGAATTCAAATTACCTTTGTGGTCAAAATTCTACTGGCACGTTTCCTAGCCAGCACTACGAAAGAGCGATTACATTAAAAACAACAAAAAAATTCACTTGGAAATAGGTGTTTCAGTAATCACTTCCTTATTTTAATACTAATCGAAACTCCAACCTGCAAAGTGTTCAAATGATGTATTTTTGTAAACTTGAAAAGCATTTTGAAACACGCATGTGCGTATCTCTTCATTCAGTTTATATGCAAACACAGTTCCATGTCACACCTTAATCATTTGCCTCTTACAGACGTCAAAAACTTCACAAAGACAAACCAGCTTCTTGGTCCAATGATTAAACTAGAGTAAAAGTTCAAAGGAGTCATTTCACTAAACATAATATCACCAATATGTTACATTGGCTGAGTAATGAGCTGAGTTAATAATTAACCAAGAGGAGAATTACCACATCAACAGTATTACCTATCAAAGACATGCAATTGAGAACTATTGGCTTATTTTTTCAGTGAACAACGCATTGATTTTAGAAATATTTAAATCAGCAAAGTCACCAGAAAATAAGGAAAATGATTCTCTCAAAAGAGAGAGAAAAATTAACATATTTTAACGAGACAAATTTTCGTGGAAATGTTCCTCTTGAGGTTACTAAAATAATTGGTTTTTACTCATTTAGAAATAAACATTCAGAATTTTATAATTTTAGCTATTGAATTAAAAATTTAATTCACAAAACTACTACAAAACGTTCCTTGTTTCCTGCAATGTTAACAATTCAATTTCTATTTTCGTAAAAATGTTGCATCAGTTTGATGTTTACAGTTACAAGGAAAATTTTCTCTCAAACACTTGAGTTTGCAAAAGGAATGAGAGTATTTCGATTTTTATTTTAGGGCGTGATTTAGCGTCGCTCTGGGTGCGGTTCAATCGTGGATAGCATACTTATAAGCAAAAGATGTATCCGTTTATCCAGCGAAAATCATTTCAGAGCTGTAGTCATTATTAATGTATATGAAAAAGTCAATTTATGCGTGGTTTCATTTTATTTGTCTGCTCTAAAAGATACACAAACTTTCACAAGTATGTTCAAACTTATTAACACCTTGTTTCGGGAACAGACCCTTTTGAGGTTAAAAATAATTTTATAAAATTGTTTCTTCCCGTGAATTTTTTTCTGGGATAATTCAGTCATAAGTATTAACATTCCACTAACCTATTTGCCTGTCGGTGAATCGGATCAACAACACTTGGAAAATATATAAACAACGTCCCTAATACAATAATGTGCGAACCAACGGCTGTACTAATTGAAACGTTTTGGAAATGCAGACTTGTTCTTGTAAAACGTATTAAATAAACTGATGATCTTGCCATAGTTCTTGTTTGGTGTATCAATAGTGTTCCTAAATTTCATTAATTCTATGCCATGCCACGATGGATTTTTCTTTCCGTCGAGTCATTTCATACCAATGCCGCAATTCTTCTTCGCTGCTGTAATTCTGCCCAAGACACACACGACCAAATCGATGTTTTTTCAGCGCCAGCGTGCGCGCCGTAATACTCGTAACAGTCAGTAAAACTGTCACTGAGTTAAGCTCATGCTCCGGAACATGGAATAAAAACATTTCATTATATTCGGGGTCTATCATATGCCGTCTTGGAGTAGTTTTACTCTTGCTAATTAACTCTCCAGTGCTTTTAACAACCCTCACTGCGACATATGTTTCTCGTGCTTTTGAGTCAGTCAACATTCCTAAATTTCTTGTCTTGATAACTTCCAGAAGAAGCTTTCCCGTAATGGGGCGGTATTCTAAGGACAGTAAAATCTCGGGCCGATCTTCTTCGGAGATGGCCAGCTCTCCTTCGTACATGATCGCGCCCGAAGCAGCTTCCGGAACATACGATCCGGGAGGCTGTAAATCAACACATGCGGGAATCATTTCAGAATCTAAGTCCACCGACCGAAGCCGTAGCGTTCCTTCGCCTAATAAATGCTTAGAGCCCATAGTGCCTTGTTCATACAAGCGAAATCTCAGCGACATATCCTTGATCTTGTCCTTGGGAAACAAATACATCGCCATGGGTTCATTAAAGTCTCTCGGTTTTGTTCGAAAACTTTGCCGTTTTCCCGGCAACAGCATGACGCTCACTTCTAACAAAGAAGTATCCCTTTGGTGATACGGTGGAAATTCTATTTTTGTAACAGTTACAGACAGCTTAGCCGTGTGCATGGTGAAGTCAAGTACGACATGAAGCCGACCAACTCCGCGTACTGTTTGATCCATATTCCAGTCAGACACAGAACTTGAGGTTGATATCCTCTTGGAGGGCGCACCGCCACCAAATGCTCGCGGAGTTTCGCTCCGACTTCTTGTCGGAAGTCCCCCGAACTCTCTTCGCGCTGCGCTTCCACGAACCGTCTCGTCGTCTGACACGATACTACTGGTTTCTAAGCTTTGCTTCGTGCGCGCGACCACGCTGGGTGCCGATCTGCCATTTGTTAGACTACTTAGGCCGAAACTTGGGGTACCAGCGAGGGTGTTTCTGCGTTTAATTGCCGTGTTAGGCACTTGTAAGGCCAAGGCGTTAGACGATGAGTCTTGTTTGGACTTACTAGGTAGCGGTAAGGAACTATTTCGCGTGAGAAACGCTGTCGTGTTTTCCTCGTCGTCATCGTCTAGATACTCCGCATCACGCTCGTCGAAGTCCCCCTCTTCTTCTCCCTGTTTTGTGTCGCTGGATGCTTGCCTGAAATGCAGACAACAGCGAAACAATGGCAAAGGACATATGAAAAATTTAACACGAACTACATTCATATCCGAGGCCTCAATTACGACATATTAGCAAAACAGACCCCAGGAAGATGGCTTGGAACAAATAGAATCGTTGCTTCATCTTTGTCTACTAAACTCTTAATGCTCCAGTTCTGTTTATTTGCTGGCACGTTTCGCTTCCCTGATTGGTTCCCGACTCATTTAAGATGCTTTCATGAATGTACGAAATTAAAACATTTGCTCGGTCAATTATGTATGTTTTCCGTGTTCTGCATTCGTTCGTTAAATAATATTTCGATAAAGCTCGCTTTTGTCAGCCTGAATTTCAGTTGAATTTTCCCTCAGTGCCTAATAAAATTGGCGTTTCTTCTTTCTTTACTTGAAAATGCTCTATTCAAACATATTAACTTCTTTCTATTGTCAACTTTATCAAACCTGGTGGCTTCCTATTGACTAAAAAGCCAAAATATTCTTAAGCAATGAATTTGACTTTACAATTATTGCCAACAGCTGTCCTTGTGTTTTAAAATTATTCTGCGCTCTCGCGCGCTCTTTACAACCAAAACATGCCAAACACTCGACTTTTAGTCACGTTTCAATAATTTATTTTGGATTTTCTAGCCATCTAATTCCTGATTTTCTGCGTGCATCCACTTTGTTTAATCAAACCGAGGGCAGAAAATTCTTTGCGGCGGAATTCCTAACCCCACCCTATCATATTCGACAACCGACATAAAGAACGCAATTGAATATGAAAACAGGCTCACGGTTACAATGAAAATAATCTTACACCTTATGTAAGATTTCCTACCTATTTTCCTGTGCTGATTTGTCTGTGTTTTGAGTTTCACCCTCTGGGTTAATAATACTGCGAAAAAAACCACCAATTTTTGCCGTGAAATCCATCCGCTACGCGAGTGAGGAACGCTAACAGACAAGCGGTTGTCCGTAATGCATTAGACGTCCATCTGGTGTTGAGAATATTGAAAATGAAGACTTTTTCTCAAACTTCTGGAAATATTAGAGAGAACATCAATTAGCACACGCTCTTTTCACTTTTCGGGAACATAAACAAGATTCGATTGGTCGAATAGGGACTCGAAAGAAATTAACACAATTGCAATTCGTCGAAAGGGAAAATACTAACAGTGCTCGCAAACTCGCTAAAAACACAAAATGTTTTTGAAGTATACATGAGAATTTGTCTTTTTCCTCCCCAAAATACTTTGATTGCACTCACCGTTTGCCTCGATGGATCTCCTTGACCAAATCCTTCAACTGATGCCGTCAGCCAATCCGTTTTTCATTATCGGTCACTTGCTACACAAGACGCCGAAAATTACTCTCGGGCTCTAGGAATTGTTACAGTGCCCACACAGAAAATTTCATTTTCTTCGCATACGATCTCTCGTGGACGTAATTGAATTATTTAAATGCAAAATCTAGATGGAGTCAAAATTATGCAGCTTTGACCTAAAATGACCAAATAATACCTTGAAACCGTGCCTGGATCGTTTGGGAATCGCTGTTTGGTAAATTCCTTGCTAGCTCTGTGTGAATTCTAGGCATCAAAGTTCTTATCGCTGGCAACAAATTACGAAGACCCAAAATACTGGCCAACAAGCTTCGAGAAAATCAATTAATTATATACTGTTTTTAAATGCACCTGCTTCCAAATGTGTATATTTACATAAAATATTTTGCCCATAAACTCTTCACGTCGTATTTTTTATGACACAAGATTTCCTTTTGTTAGGAATAGATGTTTCATTTTGTGCCTTGCCGAGCCATAAGCCACATCACGGCAAAATTGAAACAGTTATAAATTGCGCAATCCGACTTACCATAAAATGATTTCAACGCGTTCCATTCTAAACAGCCGGGCTTATTTTTTTGCGGGCGATTCTTGAGCCTTTTATAATCACAGTTAGCAAATAAAAGCTTAAAAAGTCACAACTTGAAATGAGAATTGCTATTCCTAATTTTTGGTGTTGCGGTTTTTTTTTTTCCAAACCCATAAGTTTTCTACTTTAGAGATTAGGACCACTCGCCTTTCATCGCGATGCGACAGAGACTATATTTCCCTCAACAAAGGCGATTGTTTGGGCTTTTTTACTTACATAGACTGAGTGGCGTTTATTTCAAATGCAATACCGTGAACGCGACCATCTGGCGATGAAGTAAATAATTCCAAAATTGATTAACCCACCGGGGCCGCGTTCACAAACCAACATGACAAAAAAACATGCAAATGTCCAAAGTTTCCAGCCAGGTAAATGTTTAAGAAATAATGTTTTCCCATTTCAACCTGAGCCACGCACTTTGTGGCAGCGGTTTAAGTAATGTGGCATTAAGAGCATCATTTGAGTCGTGTGGTTCAAAATGCTGATTCAAGGAGGGTTTAAAACTTCGGAATCGCATTTGATCCCAGTAAACATCATCTAAGACCTGTTGTATTTGTTTTGTTTAGTTTTCCGTTACAAAAATCATCATGAAATTTTCTCTAGATTGCAAACTATCATTTTTATTGTAGCAGTTCCTGCATATTAATTTTTTATCCGAAAAATTTTAGCTGTGCTTGTGGTTTTCCAAATGTAATTATTACAATTCAAAATAAAATTAATATTGAATTTATTGTTAAATGTGAAAAATGTTAATTTTTTTGTCTTGTATTATTAACTCTGAGGAGGAATTTTATTAATAAATTTAATATCTAACTTTGCAAATTTAGTCACATTTGATGACAAATGTTGTTTTCCTCAGTCTAATTACCTCCCATAGTAATAAACTCTCATCTGAATAAGCCTCCTGACCATTTCACTTCCAAGATCTCATTAGTATCTCTCCTTACTGTATGCCATACAATTCTTATGATGTTGGTTCAGAGATTTTGGAATAGGATCAATCTAATAATCTCTTTTTTCATTACTTGTCTGTTTGATATTGTATTGATGTTGTTAGGAGAAATTATGTATTGGTCACTCATGGGAGTTAAAGGGTTGACCACCCAGAGGAAAAGCTTTGTTAAAAATCACAACAATCTGAGTATAATCATTCAAAAATCTTTTGCCATGGTGTTACTTCAGAATGAAGGGTGCACATGCACACACTGAAGCCAGTTATTTACATGAGGTCTAACCCAAACAGTGGTTTTATGCGAGCAGTGAGCCTCATGGATTCTCTATAAGAGGGTTGATTCAATTAAATAAATGTCCTTCCAATATTAGCTTTCAGCCCTCTTGACACTGCTCACAAAAATAAATGTTCAGACAAAAGGCTCAGCTAAATCAATGATTGCTTGGAAGGAAGTTTTGTTAAATAATGGCTAAACTTTGTTCAAACAACCAGTCCTGGTAGAAGTTCCACATGGCATTGCAATTGTGTTGTGGTAGAATCAGTGTTAAAAGAAAACCAGGCTAAATTGGCAATGAAAAGGTCTTGGAACCATGGAAGCTGTAAGAACTATGTAACTATATTATAGCTTACTTTAGTTGCCTTTAATTTTTTTGCATACAGATTCTTACAGTATGCAAATTATCAAGAAGCTGATGGACCAACAACTAATAATTTTAATTAAAAGTCTATAACAGAGAGCATCAAAAGGATCAGGCTTACATGAGGTACTACCCAAACCTGTGCTAAGGCATGTTCATGAAAGCTCAGTTATTAAAGCTTTCACTCCCAAGATCTCAATAGTGACTCTCTCTACTGTCTGCCATACAACTCTCCAAATGATGGCTTAGGGAATTTGATAATGGATCAACTATAATCCTGTAGTTGATATTTTTCTGCATTCCAAACTCTTGTCTGCTTGCTATTTTATTGGTATTGTAAGGAGAAATTCCGTCTTGGTCACTCATTGTAATTGAAGGGTTAAGTTGAATGGAAAGGCAGCTACTACTATATCAACCATGCACTTAAGTGAACTTCTGGTACAGGATGATGATGACTTAAAAAGTCTGTAGAAATGATTTCAATGCACACTATAAACTCCCAAAGCTATGCAATTTGGAGCTCACTACCGAGCTCTTCATTGCAAATTGCAAAAGGCAGCTTTGCGACGAAATTCTTACTCTCCTAAGGACAAGCTTTAAGGACAGGAATCAAAACATGCAAATGACGCGAATGTCAGTGCAAAAAATATACTTAAGTAAGCTTAAATCACAGACAAATAAAAGATTACTGAGCGCGATAAGTAATCCCGCTTCTCTCCGAATGAAACAAAGGGTAAGATTTTCACACAGCCCGATACTACTGTAACACTAAGCCGTAGTCTAAAAGGCAATCAATTGTTTTTACAATAGTTTTCTTTGTCCAAGAACTGTATGCATAATGAATTGTGGGGCTGTGTGAAAATCTTATCGTAACATAAATCTCAACCGGCGCGAAACTAATTATCAGGCAGAGAAATGATAGTGATGTAAAGTAACTAGCTTAATCGTATTTCAAACTGTAATTTTTAGACCAGAAACAATGAGAACAGAGAAGTACATTAAAGGTGTACCTGGCACCAAATAACAAGATCGGGTTATAACAAACCTCGTGAGCTTGCTCTGTTCCTTTGAATGGTCAGCGTAAAAGCTGAAGAAGCTGCCACTAAGCGATGAACATAGCCAAAGACACGGCATCATCGTCAGAATTTAGGACAAAGGTCTCTAACCAACTGAATGAACAACTCTTCAGGAATGTTTGTGTTAATGGCTCACGTTTAACCATTTTGTCCATAGGCTTTTCCGGGCAGGCAAATACGATAACACGAAGTAACAAAGGACGTGCCGAGGATGAATACCATAGTAAAGGTCAAAATAATTCAAAGCTTAAAAAATTTTAAAATTGACGAGTGGGTCATGACCTTCACTAGTGGAGGATAGACACATGGACTACCATCGACACAGCGGTCTGTTACATGTTGTACATGCGCGAGGGGTTCACTTTTGGCCGGCCGCGCGATGCCGTGCGCCAATTTCCCGCGCAAAATTGCAGAATATGACAGTCAGATAGAAATAGGCACTGTCAAGCAAAATACGCAAAATAATTTTAAGTATTAAAGAAATTTGTTAAAGGAAACACAATGAGGGAAAAGTAAAACTTGACACTGTGAACACAAACCCTATTAAATCAAGGATATACTGTCGATTTACCACTTTCTTTGGAGCATTAGTGTAAAAAGTTGTACGGCTCTAAAACACCGTGACTCACAAGCTTTTGTGGTTGTTTTATAACTCCCGTAGCACAGCTTGAAAGCGCACCGCCTAGCAAATCAACGTTCTCACATGCGGAGACTTGGCTGCTGTGAACTCAGTCCATAGATCTCACGGTCAGTGGAGATACATGTCGATAACTACCCCACCTGGCGACATGCAGTGATCAGTCAAGGTAGCCCGATAAGGCTCTACTTTCAATTTATATGAAGCTTCAATTTTCTAACATGATATTAGTGGTAACAGAACAGTTATGATTCGTTGTGGTTCCAACAACTACGTCCGCTAATTAATAAATTGTAAAAATTAATTCAGACATGTAAAGAAAAAGGTGCAAACAATTTTTAATGAAACATTCCATAAAATGGTACCCTGTTTCAGTGCTATGCACAAGCATGTGCTATGTACTGGTCTCACCAGTATTTCTAGATACAAAGTTCTGTATCGCGTGAAACTCACGGGTGAGTGAAAATATCCCTACGTGTGCATCTCTTTTGTCCAATTTTGTCCTTAAGGAAAGACGGGGCAAACGTTTAACTAAAACCCCACCGGTTATTATCAGCAACTGAAACATTTTTTTTCTGTTGCCACACAGCAGCCTATAAAAGATAATTTGCTTTGCCACCTCATTAACAAAACGTTAACTGAAGGTCTAAAATCGACAGATCAAAAAGTGAAAAAAATTTGAAATACCAGCAAGCAAGTCTGTTTTATCGATCGACTATACAACCAAGGGTTTGTACCTTGGTGTACTTCTTACTGTCAATGTTTTATCGAGGCTTTGCTACATATCTGCTGTCAGCTGGTGTAAAATTTTCACTGAAAAGTCTTATCATTTTAGAAAAACAAGTGTCTTCATAGCCATAGAGTACAAACATCTTATAAAATATTTTTCCATGAAAGAATAGTATTGCATCGAGAGTAAAAATTTCCACCCAAAAGCTTAGTTCTGAAACGCAACATTGAGAGTACACAATTGATTACCCCTTAATTAGCCACTATATTTCAACAAATAGCATTAAAAACTGTAAGAATCTTATTAAACTCGGTAGCCGCTGATTCAATGAAACTTTTCCCAAAAATTTTGAGACAAACAAATTGATTAACTATTGTCCGCGCTTTGACGCGAAGAGTTGGTGGCCACCAATGAAAAAGCATGGATGCTTTTTTCACTCAGTCTAGTAATTAAGTTTAAAGAGGAAAAGAGAAAAAAAATCATTTTTTAGCATGGCTTTGTTTCCAAGCCTTCTTTTAGTCGTTGCGACTAAATTCATGTATAAACACAAGCGCAGTTTACCTAATATAAAAATAATCAATGTCATGATAGATGTTCCATGCACAGATAAAAACATCATCAATGCTTTACCTAGTATCTGCAATATATTTATTGTCATGCTAGATATAAAAAAATGAACCATTAGAGTTAAATCATACTGCGAAACCTCTGTATTTCTTGTTCTTCCCTCTAAATGGATGCATTCAGAGCACTCTTTGCATCCTAAAAAGAAAAGAGACAATTGGAAAAAATCAGCTTAAAATATATTTCATGGTAATGGGATTTGGCAAGAGAACAAAAATAATTGTTTATCATCAATACAATTCCTCTCTTGATTAGAACCAAAGAGAACGACGATTTTCTCAGTTCTTTGGTTTCAAGAGGCTTTTAATCTGACCTCATCCAAGACAACATTCGCTAAATGATTGAAAGGGGGACGTTTGTAAAAAAAACTGTGGTGCTGCGTTGGTGGGACTGTTACAAGATAGTTTGATCTTATCAACTGAGTTAATATTGTAAATTGGCTACCGTTTAGCGTTTCCAGAGCTGTCGTTTCGAGCGTTAGCCCCTCGTCAAAGCGAATGACGAAGGGCGAACGACCAAACCGGTGGCAAATTTACATCATCAACCCAGTAGATAATTAACAACTATTTATGGAGGTGGAGGCTAGTGGTGGAGATTTATCTCGCCGTTTCGCGGTTCTGTGACTATCGATGAATAACGAAGAATATTCGGGGTTTGAGCAGCCAATCAAGGCGCTCCTTCAACTCAATCCACGAATTTTGTATATATTAAAACCAAATTACCGGCAACCGTATATGATGGTCTTTTGCTTTTTCAGCATCTTACAGTTTCAAACTTAGCTATGTTACCCCTTCTTATTTATTAATTATTTACTCATCTATTTATTTATTTATTTATCTATTCATTTGTGGCGTTTGGTAATGTGGAGGGGATTCTTCTGAGTGCTCTGACTTGTAAACACTCGTCATCACCACACCGTGTTCTCGGATCCTTTTGAAACCAAATTTACTTAAATGACTGGGCAGAAATCAAGCGTGTCTACCTCTGCACTCGAACTCTTTCGCTTGGCCGCACCTGTTGTATATTTGATTAATTAGACTGATTGCTTACGTGTCATTTATTTATCTATTGATTGGTCAGAGGTCGTGGGCATAAGCTTTCTTTGCCTTGGGACACGTCTTAACAACACACTTATAACGCTTGAATAGTGCAAATTCCATTCATGCAAATTTGAGGAAATTATTGTTCACCACTCGCTCATTTTCTTGGATGTTTTTGAAGTCTTGGCAGAAGTTGTGCCAAAGGTTTGTAGGAAAAAAAATGGAAATTTAACGTTTTTGCCTTTTTGTTCACGGAGAGATTCATCCCTCAAAATGAACAAAAGAGACGGACACGGAAAGATTGTTTGTAGCTGAATCGAATTTGAATCTGGCTGCAGTAAAATTTGCCGTTGAAATTTATGAAAATTTGGTGGATTTCGCGAGTTTGTGCTATTCCAGCTCAATTTCTGCCAGCTTTCTGTTTCTATAAATGTCTTCCCGTTATGTACAGAGGGGCTATATTCGGTCTTCGATTGATTCCTCCCACTCTTCAGTTAACTGTTCACTCTTTCAAGCGCTTGTTGGACACGTTTTGGCAAGCCAACGACTTAATGTGACGCTTAGTGAAATAAAGCTTTTCTAGGCTCTGTAATCACTTCAATTATGACAAACTGATCCATTTTTGAAAGCTATAGTAACGTACATTTCTTAAGTGGCAAGTTTTCGAAAGAGACAAATTTGAAATTTGTTGAATTTAAGAATTTTCAAGGGGCTAGCACTAACTGCAAAATGCCCAGTGAGCATTTTACTTCGTTTTAACCAGATTGTATGGTGTAATTCTTAAGAGTAAAATAAAACGACAAAACCGTACCTTATTTAAAGAGTGGGTGCCATTGCGTGACAACGCGCTCAGATCCCGTCACGACTTGATTCCAATGATTTTGCTGCTCATGACTACTGGACTGTTTTCCAAAGCAAACTTCTCCAATATTCTCTCTCTTTCCTCGCCTCTCTGTCATACGGAACAGCGTGAAAACGACGGCGATGCTGGACAGCTTGTCGTACGTCACGCGAAACATAAACATCTCGTTGAATTCTGCATCGATAACATGTTTCTTTAGCGAGGTTCGACATACGCGTAACACTTGGTTGTTATCTCCAATCAGCTTCATTTCAACCGCGAGGTCTTGCGGTTTGGAGTTGTTGAGGAGACCCAGATGGCGGGTTTTTATAACTTCAGCAATCAGCTTTCTTGTCAAGGAACGATATTCCAGAGAGAGTAAAATTTCAGGTTTGGAATCTTCTGACGATGTCTGCCCGTTAGCGCCCGTGACAGACTCTATGTAGCGGGAGTCAATGGCGTAGGTCTCGGGAATATTCAGATCCAAGGCGATTTTAACCGCCTGTGGAGTGAGATTTATTTCTCCAAGGCTCACAACTCCCTGGCCAATCAGATGTTTGGACATGGCGCGGTGGTTGTACAAACGAAACCTGAGGGACATTGTTTTGATTTTCTCTTTCGGCGTCAGAGTCATTGTAAACGGATCCTTGAACTTCTTTGGACGCGCACGGAAGCTATGCTGATGAATGGGCAGTAGAGTGCAACTCACCTCTAGATCATCTATCTTCCACTTCTGGAACGGAGGGAATTCTACTCCCAGTAGAGTCAGGGTCAGTTTGGATGGTGCAGGATCATACACGAACTGCAGATTTAGTCGTCCGCCCGTCCCGATTTCCCTGGTAATTTTCGAAGGAGTGCCATTCTCTTGCATAACTTGAATACTCGCGGGCGCGTTTAAGGTGGAATCCTCCTCGCTTCCCACAGTAGACGGCGCTGTTGATGCAGTATTCGCTTCTTCATAGCTGGGTCTGTAATCGTCGCTTGGTGAAACCACAGGCGCCGACTCCGGCGGAGTTGCCACGTATTCAAGTTCCAAGTCACTAGTTTTGTCAACAACTTTTCCCTTGTCTTCCAAAGCTTCTTTCCCTTTTTCTATTGGGGCGTCTGGCTGGTCTTTTGCCACAGATTTTTTCTGCACTTTTGGTCTGTTCGTCTCTCCACTAAGGCAGCACCGCCACAACGAGAATATAGAAACAGATTTTTTCGTTTCTTTCACTTCTTTCTTAGACATGATGAAACTTTCTGTCACTGAAGTGAAAAGCTTACTTGCTCTTAAGGAATTTCACTTTAAACAAGCCTTTTTAACTTAGCTTTGAAAACGTGAACCTCTTCGCCCAAAGTTTGCGATCGGAATTTTTTAAAACAAAACCACAGACGATGGTGTTTATGTCGAGGATCGCTTGCAAATAAACACACGGCGAGCGCACGTAGGAAGAACGACAAATTCTATCGTCATCTAAACCTCAGTCATAAATTTGACTTGTTAATAAGTTTAACAATCTTTGGCGCTCTTTTTGTTGGCAAGTTATCGCTTTGTCTATTGTTTCGGCACCAATAATATTCGACTAAGGACACCCCAAAGCATTTACTCAGTGGTCGTTTGCCTCACATGAATGACTCTTTTCTTTAGATCGGCATTTACTCAGAAATCGTTTGCCTCACGTGAATGACTCCATTCTTTAGATCTATTTGTCATTCAAGCGTTTGCTCAACGGGTAGGAATCCGTTTCAAAAACGGTTAAATTCTCGTTTAGAAAAAATCAAACCCTTGTTTGAATTTCAAAAGAGTAATACATCCACTCAAGTTTGTCGATCAAAAGTTTGCTTGAAATCAGAAATGCAATAAAAAAAGACTACAACCCTATTTCAACAGAAGTTATGATACTGTGCTTGCAATTTTAAGATTCAAAAGAATTCATTATTTGTCGGGCGTAAAAATAGCTGTATATAATAGCGAAGATGAGATAAATTGCTCCAAAATACCACATCTCAAACAATCTTATGCGACAGCCTCGGGGGCAGGAAATGGGAATATGCTTACTTCAGATTCATTTGTTTGTTATGTCAACCTTTTTAAAATGACTAGCCGCTCAAGGATTGATCAAAATGTGTAGTTGAAAAGATTGTTCGAAAATAACTGCTCGGTTATAGTAGTTTAACCGATTAAACTTTCAAATTTTGGTCTATTGTTACCTCGGCACAGCAAATTGCAACTACTGTTATATTAAAGTTAACTCTCTTTAAATCACAATTAAGTCAAAAACGCACGCTGTTACACAATTTCGTAGGAAGCCACTTCAGCGTTCACTTTGCGTCAATAAACTGTAAACGCACGAATCAGCTGAATTAAATTCTTTTTTGTCCTGCAACGCCAAAGTAATGAAACAAGCCCTGCTAAAAAAAAGATTCGCCATCAATGAAATCTAAATGCTTTTAGGCAATGTTAACCCTTTTTAAATGTTTTCGGTGACAAGTCAATTACCAAAATTAATGACAAATTCCGCCTGTCTCAGTAAATCAGCATTTAATAAGTTCCATTGGTTTGCACTCTGTTATAGAGTCTTACAAGTACTAAAAAAATATTTCACGGCGAGTTTTGAATTAACACAATTTTGTTGAAATTAGGGAAGCCTTGAGATAAAATCGGGCTCAAACCTGACTCAAATTAAATCTAATAATTCCTCAAACAAGGTATCCGTGAGCGGAGGCGGGCATGATAAGTCAAAGGCACTTTTTGCATTTTGTGTAAGCTTAAAGGATGTGAACCACGTCTTGGCGGTTTCACCACCCGATTCTATTTTTATTGAGCTTACAAAACTCCCACAGCTACGCACACTATAAAGCATTATAATGTAAGAGGTTTAACCTAGTGTCAAACCATACAATTTCGTAATCATTGTATCATTCAAAAGTTAAAAAAACTGAAATATTACGAGCGCTCTGATTGGTCAAAAATCTTTCGTTTATTGTACCTGTAAACCAGTGGAAAGTTTATAAGTTTACTTTATTTTAAAAGTGTTATTTTGATACTTTGTGGATCGCTTGCCCCGAGCTCTTGATTTACAAACGTTTCGTGTGTTCTTTCAACATCCTGCATGGGTTATAACACCGATAAAACAATAGAAAATGCGGTTTATTGCGTAAGAATCAAATAAATAGACACTTTAGTTGATTCCTTCCCGGAGGCTCTTGGAAAGGATGACGTCAAGTTCGTGTCAAAGAAATTACTTCCCTCCGCCAACGAGCTAGCTTCAGGCTACATTCCACTGGGTCAATGTCAACATTAGAGAGTTCGGGCAAAATTTTGGTCATGAAAAAAGCAGAGGGTGAAAAAGGGAGTGAGGGATTGGGGCGGGTTGCGTACCGACATGTTCATTCTACATTTGTTGGAAAAAACGTCTCAAGTGGGGAAAAATTGGAGGGAGTGTGTTGAACAAGAACGCAGCAAAATCATCCAATCTTGAACGCTCGATTAGCGATTAGCAAAACATTACTGATTCTCTTTCATAATTTACGTTCAGTTTATGACAAAAAATATTTTGTAAGGTGTGAAACTTCTTCATTACGACCACCACTGGTCAACTGAAGTCGTCTTCGGTCTTACAAGAATTCTTGACTAGTCACTTGATTACCGAAGTCCTGGATTGCACGTGTATTTCTGGTGTTACTACATTTCTCGATTGTTTTAGAAATCTCACCTTAGCCAATCGACTAATCAGATGCAAGACTAAACCCATCGCGACTTCGTCACTCACGTTTCCCCGCGCTTGTTTGCTTGTTTTTGCATTGGGTTATCATTGGCTCCTTCTGATATCTATCCTTTTGATATATGTTTGCTCTGATTGGCTGTTGCAAGGACTATGATTCGAATTTTGTGAGCACGAGCGGAAAGCATCGTGAGGTTGGCTAATCTGATCAACAAGGCTCTAAAAGATTTTCATTCCCGCTTTAGCAATGAGAAGCTCAAAAGTTTTGGTGCTTTACGATGTCAATTTTTCAATCTATAACAACTCTCAGTTCGAATTACATCGTCGTAAATTACCATTTAATTCAAAATATTGTCTGTTACAGATGAGATTGTCAAGGTCGAGTGAAAACATTTTTCACAGCAGGTCAGCAACAGCCGTTTTTCTGAACAAAATTACGCGGAGTGGCCACGGCAGTAGTCTTTATGGATTCTTTGTGACAAATACTTTAAATCTCTGCAATTGTCCCATCGTTTCTACTCGCTTCTCTGATTTTCTAACTACATTAATGAGTTCGTTTTGCAAACTGAAAGTTAAACATTATTATTGCCGGCAGTTTCAGTAGGAGGACCAAGGCTTGTCATCTGATTGGTTCCTGTTCTTTCCCGGTATTCACCTCTACTCGCGGTGATTTCATCCGTTCCTGACTCAAAACAACACCAGCTGCAACCAAGTAAGCACTTCTTGGGAGGTTTAAGAGGCGAAACAGCGTAAATAACAGTACAGGCTAAACCAAACTCCGTTAAACGGAACAAAGTTTCATGAATAAACCATGGCCAGGGAGCCAACTTCTTGTCTTTATTATACACATACACATATTCTATGACTTCCACTAAATCGTAGATTTTTAACGCAAATAATGCAATGCAGAAAAATACTGTCAATGTAGTAATGGTAAAAACTTTGCGTACTGCTCTTCTGTTAAACGAGGCCTGACGCATGCGGTGTGCGGTACCAATAGACATGGTCGATGCCGTCATGGAACTTGGCATGGTTGCTCCGTGTTCTCTGTTCTCGCGAACGACTTTCCAACCAGTTTTGGTAATACGGATACCCGTGAACAGGGTCATGGATAGAAGATACGCGGTGCAGACCATGTATAAGGCAGAGGTACTTTCCACCAAAGCAGTGACCACATCTGCTACAATAACAACACTGAAATGCCCGATGATGACAAGAACGAGAAATCGAATCCTTCTCAGCTTAGAGTAAGTCAGCGGTGTGGTTTTCACGCTGGCCGTGAATGTTATTTGTATCAGAGCAAACGCCGCCATGAAACAAGGAAATCCCAGACCAAAGATAATCCGGTGAACATACAAAGGTATGACAATATCTGCTTCATTTAAGTTTGTTGTTACCTCGTACGGGAAAAGTACCAGCGCGAGTGCCCGAGTGATCCCGAGAACTATTAACAACGAGTGCACAGCGTAGGAGACATTACGGGATACTTTTTCCCGAACTTGCCGCCGTTTTGAAGCGGCGACGAGCTTCGCTGTGGAGTATGCGGCAAGTCCCAAAAATAACACGACAAATGAGATCCAGTGCAATTCCCAGCCCCATTTAAAAGTAGCTTTCGCTTCCTCCCAGTCCGGCACAGGTTCTGAGTTAAGGGGTCTGTGATGTTTTGTCTCAGATTCAAGATTTAAAGGAGTATTGTTGCTATTCGGACTTACTGCTACATTCAATGTGCCATTGAAACGGGCCTGATGCAAGTTACTCGCAAGGAGCGACATGGTGTTGGATCAACCTGTTGAAATGAGGCAAAAATTAGAAACAAAGGAATTTTTGGGACTATGAGAAGCTGGACACAGGCCACCATTGTTTTCAATTGAAATTTGAACATTATTGAAACTGGTTTTTATGCAGCGAATGGATCGAACGAATCCTTTGATACTTTCTCCATTTTGCGACCAAAAATGCGTTTGTATAGGTGCAGTAAAGTGTTTACGATTTTGTCTTTAAACTCTTGAGAAAATGAGTGTAGTAAATTAAAAGTATTTTCTTGTGCTCTTAATAAGAGCCGAGACTGTGCTGAAGAATTCCAGCAGGAACAGTGCTACAATCATACGAACAAACACGATATCGTACCTTCAGAAGAGCAACACAGGTTAAAAGCCACAGTAACAACATAAAGAAATGCCACCCAAATGAAGAGAGAAATGTAGACCGTGTACACTTTCTCAAGCGCTGAGTTTGGTTCTGATTTGATTTTGCTGACCAGATTTACTTTATATCTCAATTGACGTTATCAAGGACTTCAGTACGTCAAAGTTTCAAGAGAAAAATATTGCCACTTGGCATCTTGCTGTGGAAAAATAAGTCACTTAGCTGTCGGAAATTTTCTCATGAACAAATATCTCTAGGCTACCGAATATTGGTCACATCGCTGGTCGAAGATGCAAGGGGGCTGAAGCATGAAAAACGATGCTAAATACAAAAAAACTATTAAAGATTCAGGTTTTAGTCTCTCTTGAACAAAATAATTTCGAGGAAAGGAACTACATCACTTCTTTTGCCACTGGAGACCAAAAACGCCCAGACCAAGCGTTAAACTTTGCCGATTGTTTCAATCAATTCGATTTACTTAACCAAGTCACGCGATTCATTTTCACAAATAATATCGCTGCTTATGTTTATCTTCTCTGAAATCACATCATCATCGTACAATTTATGAGTTGTTTACGCAATGCAGCTTCGCTCATTTCTGTTGTGAAGGTTCTGGTTTTGGCGCGGTCGGAGTGACTGACAACAAGATATTATAATCTCTCGCTGACAAAAATTGTACTAACATGAATAAAAAAAAAAATTGGTTGGAACTGCGAAAAGAACTAAAAGTATCACTATAGTAATTTCGGATACACTAATTTGTAGTTCTATAGAAAATGCACCGCAACCGCAAACTTGCTCTAACTAAAAAGAAGGTCACTATTTATTCCTACGTGTCAGAAACGGCAAAGACGAGGGCTAAATGTTTTAGTCTTTGACTGAAGATCCTTTCCGACCCAATTCCCTATTTTGCTCATGGTTTCCACGTCCTGTACTTCAAAGATAATTGTCTGTTATTTATTTCGAATTATTTTGTTTATCCATTGTAATTTCTGTTGTGTGGACAAAAGAACGAACGAAGGACAAAAGGAAGGAGAACATCTCTATCAGTAAACAAAACAATCACTTATCTAGGCCAAAGTTTTTAAAATAAACTTTCTTCAGGAATTGAA